GGGGCTGAAGGATTTGTTGAAATCCTTCAGGGCTGGTGGGGCTGAAGGATTTTTTGAAATCCTTCAGGGCCCAGCTGGTGGGGCTGAAGGAATTTTTGAAATCCTTCAGGGCCCAGCTGGTGGGGGGCTGAAAGATTTTTAAAAATCCTTCAGGGCCCAGCTGGTGGGGCTGCAGGATTCGTGAAAATCCTTCAGGGCCCAGCTGAAGGATGTCCAAGAATCCTTCAAGGCCTAGCTGGTGAGGGCCCCTAAGCCTTGGAACCCTAAAACCCTACACCCCTTCAAGCCCTTAACCTCTAAAGCTCTAAAACCCTAACCCCCCACAGCCCTAAACCCTAAAGCCCTAAACCCCTACAGCCCTAAAACCCCCAAAAGCCATAAACCATTAAATCCCAAAACCCTAAACCCTAAACCCTGAACCCTCCCCCCCCTAAACCGCTGGAGGTCGGCTTTGGCCGTGTGCCGCCTGGAAAGCATTAGTTTCTGGTTCAGGACCAGGCTCCCTCGAGAGACTTTCCTAGGGCTTCCTTCAAGGGGGTTCCTTAAAGGGGGTTCCTTGAAGGGGGTTCCTTAAAGGGAGTTCCTGAAAGGGTTCCTTGAAGGGCTTCTTGATGGTTTCCATAAAGCCATAAAGGGTTCCATAAGGGATCTTGGGTGGTTTAGGGGACTTAAGGATCATGGGAAACTCAGCAATTGGGGTTCCTTAACGGGCTCCTGAAAAGGGAGCCATAAGGGTTCTATAAAGGGGGGGGTTGAGGGGTACTTACAGGATCATGGGACTTCGTAACACGAAGCTACGATTCGGGTAACTGTACATATAGTTGCTTGAAACCCCAATGAAGGTACTAATAGTTTACAGCCAGACTAAGTAGGTCTCATGATTCTCCAAGTAAGGTCTGGCCGCACCTAGTCTGGACATGTGTTTAGCAAGCTTTCTTCCCTTTTCTTCTTGGTAGGACCACTGGCATCAATGCATGCTTGAAAGGTATTTCTTGGCACACCACTGGCTGGATGTCATTGCTGGATATGCGGAGGGCTGCGCTGTGTCGCTGTTAGCAGCCAAGGCCACGGAAAATTGTGAGCGCAACTCAAACACATTAAGCATTCGCAAAGAAGGCACTGGTGCAGGGTTTACGAAAATGGCCAATCTGACATGTGTGACATGCTTATCTTTTACAGACATGCACCTGCCACAAATACCTTTCCAGACATTGAGACCCCCATCTTAGACGCTGTGACGGCGACTGGCCATTTCTCCAGCCACTTCGCCTTGGGAGGTGATCCGCATGCACCAGGATGGCTTCGATACAAGGCAGCTCATGGGGCTGCTCGCAGCCGGCCTAGGCAGCTTTCACCAGAACAGGCTTTGACGCGGCTTTCGGCTCGGCTCAGGCTGCCTGTTCCAGGTTTTTGCAGAGGATGTTTCGAATATCCTGGTTGAAGAATAGACCTTGCGCAGAGTGCGCAAGCTGTTCATAAGGCCTGAAGTGCAAGTCGTTTTGAGGTCTCGGCATGGCCATGAAGCTCACGAAACGCATTTACAGCGGGCCGGCCAAAACAAGCCACCTGGCGGTTTGGGATTTTCAGAGGTTGGATGGGTGGCTTTGGGGTTTAGGGCTTCTCCGTTCATTGTGTGGTCCGAGTCGAGAGTCATCCCGCAACCTTCCGGGAATGTACATCTTTGACGATGCCTCCGATGCAAACACGGGAAATTGCAAGTTTGCGTGAAAATCTGGCCGCTTTGCAAGGCCACTTCCTGCTGCTTCTCGTTGGGCTTGGCCTCCTCTTTGCTGCCCCAACACTCTGAGCGGAGAAGTGAAGAGCTGGAACGTGTGCTATCTCATACAAATCACAGACTGGTCGCGACCAGCTTTAAGCATTTAGGGATGTACGGCAGCTGCGGTCCTGCCCAGCTGAATGACTGCTGGATTGATTGAACGACCGTGACGAGACAGAAAAAACACCTGCACCGCTCCGGGCTCAGGGTGGATGGGCAGAAGAATAGAAGAAGGAGTGCGTGCGTCTTCCACACTGGGGAAGACTCAGTAAGCTTACAAAGCTGCTTGGGCGAGCTGTGGTAGTCGCTGTCGTAATACCTGGATGTCCGACTTTGCTGCAGCCATGCAGTGAATCCTCAAGCACCCCACAACCCAACCCCCCAAAAGGATCCAAAAAATAGATTCCCTAATTAGGGACCCTAACTACTAAAGGGTACTGTATAGGAACCCCTTTAGGGGATCTATTTTTTTAGATCCCCACAACCTGACGCTCTTCCAGGAGGCCGAGGATGAGGGCGACGCTTCGGAGAAGCGACTCGAGGCTTGTCCTCTCCCGGTCCAGCTCAGAATTCTGGAGATCTTTGAGGTGCAGTATTGCTGATGAACAAAATCCTGCATGACCTTACATACCTAAACTATGGGATTTATGGTACTATACTATACTATATTTGGGTCATGCAGAATTTTTGTACATCAACCGTAGGGGCTACAAGAGGGCTTCTTGTCAAGTCTGTCTCCACAGCCGAGTCCACGACAAGCATGTGCACTCACTCGAAGCAATCACCAATTGCACCTTTCAACAATCAGTCCCTTAAACCCCTAAACCCCTAAACCCTAAACCCCTAAACCCCTAAACCCTAAACCCCTAAACCCCTAAACCCCTAAACCCATAAACCCCAAACCCCTAAGCCCCTAAACCCTAAACCCTTAAGGAGCCCCCTAGTATCAGCTTGTTGTCTTCTTAAAATCGCTGCGCACCGGAAAACTTCTCCACTTCAAAGCCTATCTCTGGTGCTTAGTAGGGAATGGGGGAATGGGTTATAGGGACTACTATAAGGGACCTTAAGGGACCTAAACCCTAAACCCTAAACCCTAAACCCTAAACCGTTCCTTCCCCCATTCCCTACTGAGCACCAGACAGAAGCGGCGCGGCCCATGGTCCCAGCCTCTTAGGGAACCCAGAGACTCCAATATCCCTTAATTAAGGAATACACCTTAAATCTTATTAGGGCTCCTATTATAGTTTAAGGTATAATCCTTAATGAGGGGGTTTTGGAGCCTCTTAGCGACGTTCTGCTCGGGCCTCGATAGACATTTCTAGAGCTTGAAGGAAGGTCCCTGACGCTCGAAAATCCTATAGAAATTCTGAACCCGAACGAAAAAATCCGATAGAAACCCTACACCTAAGCCCTAAAATCTTATAGAAACCCTAAACCCAAAAAACCCTAAAATCTTATAGAAACTTTAAACCCAAAAAAATCCTATGGCAAGCCCTGAACTCGCAGATGCTCGCCGAGCTCGCTGCGTCGGGAGAGCTGCGCCTTGAAGATCTCACGGAGGAGGAGGCCGAGAGCTTCCCTGGAGTCTGGGGTTTGGTGATTTGGGGGGTTTAGGGTTTAGGGTTAAGGGATTATGGAGTTTGGGGATTTAGGGATTTAGGGTTTAGGGTTTGGGGTTTAGGGTTAAGGGTTTAGGGATTTAGGGATTTAGGGTTTAGGGTTTGGGGTTTAGTGTTGGGATTTAGGGTTCAGGGTTAGGGATTTAGGGGTTTAGGGTTTAGGGTTTGGGGTTTAGGGATTAGGGTTTAGGGTTTGGGGTTTAGGGTTCAGGGTTTAGGGTTTAGGGTTTTCCTGGGGATTAATGTGGGAACCTGATTAAGAAACCCCGGGCCCTATAACCCCGATATATTAGGGCTCATAATTCAGAACCCTAACAAAGGCCCCAGGGTTTCTGATTTAAACCCTAAACCCTAAACCCTAAACTTTCTGAATCAGGTTCCTACATTATGGAGTTTGGGGTTCAGGGCAGATCCTGAACCCAGACAGCCACGTTCGCCGGCTAAGCCCCACACGGAGACTTGTCCTGGGCAGTATGAGGGAGACCCCTTAATGGGGACTTTAAGGGTTTAGGGTTTAGGGATTAGGGGTTTAGGGTTTAAGGGTTTTTAGGGTTTAAGTATGAGGGACCCCTTAATGGGGACCCTTCTTCACCCTACTTCTAGCTCTCTTAAGAGGGATCTTGTTGAGAGGGTCTTTCTCCCCAATGGTCTAATCCTAACCTCCAACCTAGGGCGTTTTTGATTGGAGGGGCCGGTTTCTCAAAACCTGCGCTCAGTCTCCTGCACAAGGCGGAGTCCTTCCGGGTAGCGCTGAAGAGCGGGGATTTGGGCCGCGCTCTGGGCGCCTGGAAGCCGTGGTCGGGAGCCCAGGAAAGGGTCCGGGGTTCGTGCTGTGATCAGCTTTCTGGGGAGGCTATAGCTGCGTGCATCGCGGTGTGCGTGCAGCTAAACTCGTAGTCGTCGTCAGTCGTTGTGTTGGTTCTGATGGCGGCGTGGTCCTGACTGTGAAGATACGAGTGCCCCTCCATCCATAAACACAATACTATTATATGTAAGGCAGCCCAGATATCTGGGACAGGGGTGGATTCTTAGAAGCTACTACTCGTAACAAGAAGCTCGGTTTGGTTAGGCAGTCGGAAAGCTTCAGCTTGGAAACCTGAGGCTACGGTTCTGCAGAGCCTTCGGCTGTTGGGCACCCTTGAGGTGTGTATCTTTCAGTCGGCTCTAGCGGGCAACATGGGTTTAGGGTTTAGGGGTTTAGGGTTTAGGGGTTTAGGGTTTTGGGGTTCGAGGAAGGACACTTTAAGCGTATCTTGGAGGGTAATCGGAAACGGTTTCTTCATGTCATTTGGTTTCTCTGGATTCAGGATGAGGACAACAGGCCGGAGCGATGTGAATCTCACGAGAAGGCTTCCGGCGTTTGGAATGGGGCCTTGGCGACCTTGTCAAAGCCTGAACATGCAGCCAGAAGCATCATGCAGGATCATCTGCCCGATTTGTCCTGCTTTCCTTTTTGCTTCGGGGGCTGTCGGCGAGAAGAAGAAGGTCCCGGCCATGTTTGGGATCCAAAGCGAGGCGTCTCTTGCTCCGCGCCTGCGTGGTGTGGAAACCCAGAGACTCCAAAACCCCATGATCAAGTAACCTAAACCCTCAAAGACTTCAAAGAGTAACAGGAATCAATCTGATCGGAGACATACTCAATCAAGGGGGTTTCGGAGCCTCTGAGAACCCTGAAATCCTGGCCCGTATAGTGACCTTAGAGTCTATTGAGGGAACCCTATTGAGGGAACCCTGCACCCTAAACCCTAACCCTAAACCCTAAACCCTAAACCCTAAATCCTGAACCGTTAACCATCGAGGTGGCAGAAAGTCGCCGCCGTGGACCTCCTCTCCTTGGATGAGGACGATGTCTCCGGCCCCTCGACTGGCAAGATCCTCCAGTCAAGCCTTGAGGGTGTCACATATGTCTCTCTGTCTGCGTGCATATATATGTACATATGTAAGTATGTATATATAAATATACAATCTACATATATAAACACATATATATATATATATGTGAATGGACAACTATCTGTGCATGTATGTGTACATTTATATACATATACATATACATA